TATTGAACTCGACCGAGTTTAGTTAAACGAGCCCAAGCTCAACCCATTTACCTATATTTATAAGTCGAGCTTCAGCCTTAACGAAACAAATTATAGAAAATAAATTATACAGAAATTTCTATGTTCGAGCTTTATTAACTAAACAAGCTCATGAGTGGTTCCCTTTGTTTATCTGACTCGATATATGTATAACTTACAAATTTAGATGACGATATTAGTTGTTTCTTATGAAGGCAAATTTTTTTTCTGTCGTTGATATGTACTGGTAACACAAAACTTCCTGACCAACTGAAACTTGAATGATCGCCTTTCTTCTCGTCGGTTGAACGTCGTGCACCTACAAAAAACTCTCACACTGGAGGGGTTTCCGGTGAAGAGCCTACGAAGCTTAAGTCAGTGTATATTCAATCAATTTTCAAGAGTAAGTCATAGAATGATCGTGTTGAAGAAGAAAAGCTCACCCCCCTTATATAGGGGTGAAATACCTGACATAGGGCTGCCCGGGTTTGGTGAGCTGTCTGCCCTAACTGCCCGTCCGTACACACAATACGCGTGTGTCAGAGGTAGCCGTCGCCACTATCGCCCTCCCCAATACTCTTTGGACGCGTGTCCTCCTGCACATGGGGTAGGCTGTCAGAGGTGGTTAGTACTATCAACCACTATATTCTCGACACGTGTCCCCTGCACATGGGGTAAATATTCTCCTGAAACTCGGCTAGAGGCTCTCCCACGCGCCTGTGACTGGGCCGATCATTGTAGCGTTAAGTCCTCGAAGTAGTCGACCTACTGAGCCGTACTACTTTGTTCGATTGCTCGATCACTTATCTGGTCGAGCCGTAGACTGGTCGACCGTTTGACTGCTCGATCTTCCTGCCACTTGGTTCAGTTACGTCCTCTTCGACCGGTTCGGTAGACCGGTTTAGTCTGGGAGGTATGATATCCTATATCATGTACGAACAGTCGAACACCACGGCAAGGGCAATAAAAAACACTAGGGTTTTATAATCAATATATACATATGAAAATAAACATTCAATTCTTTTGTGTTTGGAAAGTATATTAGTTTGAAAATATGAATTAATGTTATTTGATTTGACAATTCCTTATATTTTGTATATGAGAATTGATTTTATGGTTTAAGCTTCTCTAAAAAGCAACTTTGTTGCAATAACCACACCTTTTTTCTACTGTCCATCGCTCTTATTGTTACATTTTAATTTTTATCACTCACCATAAAGTTTTTCCACAATCACCCAAAAGTTATGAAAAATCTTTAAAGCTAAAAAGTTCAAATCTAAAGCTACTTATTGAAGCCACTACTGGCTTAAGACATTGCTGCAGGCAGCTATAGAAAAGATGATATGAAAATAGGAAACTCATTCAACCTGACACATTTTAATTCGAGTAAAAAATTAGCTAATTGAGGAAAATTCAAGTTTGGCTCGTTAATATTTATTGACTTAAGTCAAGCCATATAAGTTATTAAACAATTCGAGC